GAATAAAAACAACAGTCTTATATATTTATAAACATCCGAAGTTAAATACATATTCTTACAGGATAATAGCCTTATACATTTTAATATAATTATACATATTCTAACAGAATATCGTTATAAATGAATAAAATTCTTAAAAAATAACATTCTTAAAGATACAATACTTGAACAAATGCACTTGATCTTCTTGAATGGACGAAATAATTGACTTGATTCCAACTATTCTTACAAAAATGTGTTGTATTATCGTAAGAATGTAATTCTTGGTAGAATACACTTGTTCTTGAACTCGGTTCCAAGTCTTTCTCTTATATGTGTTTGTATGTTCTTGAACTCGATTCCACATCAATGACAACCTCTTCAAAACCTAAACCAATAAAAAGCTATGTAAGTAGTGTACTACTACAAGAATTTTATCATTAAGTTCAATTCTTTCATAATTTTATAAATCTTACAAACAATATAGATAAATCTAAAAGAATAATTCTAGTAGAATTGACAAATTTTCAAGATCAACATACTTTTAGAAATTGACTTTATGAATATTCTAACAGAATGTTCAACTACCATATTTATTAAAAACATAAAGATTCCAGTATAACCAAATGCAAGATAAAGTATCCATCTTTATTGCACGATTAAGAACAGGAACCCTAAGTGTTCATCCAAAGAACAAATTATGAAAAAACCCCGAAACAAAATCAGAATTCGAGGAACACCCGGATCAAAATTTTTATTCTCCGAAAGATCCCAGAAACCAAATCTAAACCCATAATAAAGAAAAATGACAATGCTTTCATGTTCCAAGAAGCTTTCTTTACTTAAGAACCGGGCGTTATCCTAATTTAAACACACAATGTTCTTATCCTAATTCCATTTATTTAATTTAAACTAATCATCACTATAATAAAAGACAAAATCAAATAGACCATCGGATTCAGAAGTAGCTTAGAAACCAGATGGAGAAGAAGATCATATAAATCCTTTATTTGATGAAGATTATGTAGCTCCTGAAAAAAATCATGGGATTATATCAGAGCAGTATCACCTGATGGATTAGCAAAAGTAGCCATTAGATAAGCTCATGATACCTTAAGTTCTCCCAAATCTGTATTGAAGATAGGGTTTTCAACCGAACAGGCTTCACCATACCATTTTTACAATGAATTTTTTCAATCCGATAACCACACATGAGAAGCTGAAAATGAGTTACATCGGACCAACAATTCATTTAGTGAAAGCGATCCTGATAACTTCCAGTTTGGTCAAGCAACCTTCTCCAAAAATTCATAGCAGATGATAAATACATGTACATAAATTAGATTTATTGATATATAAAAGTATGTAGGAAAAAAAAGACCTAGGTTTACTAGTTTGGCTATTAAGTCAATTGTAGAGTTACGACCAACGACTGCAAGTGCTAGGGTTCCTCCAATAGATTCTCCAAGCAAATAAATTGGCTTATTTTGGAGACAAACTGTGCTCAAAATCATTATCGAAATTGGAATGATGGAATTTAAATAGAGAGACAATTTAAACCGATGGAAGAATTGGAACTTTTAATATCGATGAATGAATGGAAGAGATTGATTGCAGGTTATTCTTTTTGTTGGAAGACATCGATGACGGAAGGGCGGGATAAGGTTACTGCGCCGACGAATAGGGAAGGGGACCATGTGATTGAACGGCTGTAGATAAAAAAGGAGGAGAAATTAGGTTAAAAGTGAATGCTAACATGATTATAGGGACTATTTGTGGAAGCTATTTATCAAATTACTAAATTACCCGTGTTTATTTATTTAATTATTTAATTTTGATTGGCTGACAATCATTCCTACATCCATACAATAATTAGTTAGAATATTACCTACCTCTCTCCCTCTCTCTCTCTCTCTATCTCTCTATCTCTCTCTCTCTCTCTCTCTCTCTCTCTCTATATATATATATATATATATATATATATATATATATATATATATAATATATATATATATATATATATAATGGTTGTAAAAAACGTTCAACGTTAACTAGTCGTTGGACTGTGGTTAAGAGATTAATTGGCTACACAGAGATTAAACGAGGACCCTACATGCATTGCTAATTCGTTGAATTTAAAAAAATTAAATATGACTAATATCATAACACAATTCGTAAATACTACTAATATCATAGCAAAATAGGTTAATATGATTAATACAACATTAACCATTTCTCAAATAGTTTCTATTGAGATAGAACTTCTTCAAAAATGTTCAAATTTTCTCGTTTGCTACTGTTTCGCTCATTTTGTAGGCAGCGATTAATCGTTAGACGCATTTTATTCGGTTGGATTGCGCCTAGGTACTAATCGGGACATAATCGTAATTTTTACAACACACACACACACACACACACATATATATATATATATATATATTATATATATATATATATATATATATATATATATATATATAGAGAGAGAGAGAGAGAGAGAGAAAGAGAGAGGATCAGGTGAGGACTCTTTTTTCGGTGAGGACACCTTAAAAAAATTGAAATAAAAATACAAATCATAAAACCGAGCATAGTACTATATCGGAGAGAAAAAAATTTGGAAATTTTTTTTTTGGATCATTAAAATTGAAGCATAGATCATTTTTATGATCCATGATTCACTTTTTATGATCCATGATTCAATTTTAATGATCCAATTTTTTTTCCAATTTTTTTTCTCCGATATAGTACTATGCTCGATTTTATGATTTGTATTTTTTTATATTTTTTTTCAATTTTTTTAAGGTGTCATCACCGAAAAAAGAGTTTTCACCAGAACCAGACTTATATATATATATATATATATATATATATATATATATATATATATATATATATATATATGGCCCACCGTAATGGTTGAAAAAACTTAATGAAATTAGCATCATATCAGCATAAAATCGCACCTCAATTCTGAAAAAGGCAATGTACTCTAGGGGAAACACCCAAATGCAATGAACTTTGCATCAGAAATTCCAACAACATTGATGTCTTAGAAACCTGCAATTCAACCAAACAACAATGAAGTTGTGTAATAATTACTGAATCGAAACTAAATTGACTTTAAAAAAAAAAATCAAACAAGCTAACCCACTCCTATTAACAATTCAGCATTTCCATATTCACAAACTTATCCAATGTAACCGACCTTACAAAATAAGGCAGTGAACCTAATAATTAGTTGAATTGTTGGTAACTTCGTTCTAATCTAACAATTTAGCAAGTACTAAAACCCTTTCTTTTATAATTCTATGAAAATCACCTTCAATTTGGCAATTTCAAATTAAGAAAACTAAACATTCAAGACCAAACAAACTGATCATACATAAATCTAAATAGTAAACTAATAAATAACAAAAAAAAAAAAAAAAAAAAAAAAAACATCGATACTAACTTAGAAGACTAAAAACGAGTCTTATTTATCATTTAAAGATAAAATTACATGAAAGAAGTTAAAAACATTTTTAAGAAAAGATACACAAGAATTCAATAGGTGAGATCCTTAGGTTCAATTCCAAATTTCTATTAGAGAGAAGAGTATCTAAGATACTATATGCTTATAAAGTTATGATGGAAACCTGAATGCTTGAATTTGGACTTTAGTTATCGGCCTATGTTCTATGCCCAGTCCTTAGTCCTCAGTCATCGCCAGGTCGTCCCTGCCCCTCAATACGACACAGATCAAAGATAGAAGCGGAATTGTTAAAACCCTAGTCCTGTCAATATCCACGTTTTATAAACCAAAAAAACTAATGAATAAGAAAAAACTCAAAGGTTGCCTCGTTATTCTCCCAGTCTCCTCGTCTTCTTAATTAAGCGGGGAATCTCAGGGGAATGAGGTCGCCGGAAGAGAAGGAGTAGAGGCCGACAGGAAACTGGTCTTCTTTGAGATAGTTGACAAGAAGAAAACCTATGATCGAAAGAGAGAGAAAGGTGAAGGGGGTTATGCGATTGAGATAAGTAATCGTCAGACCAATATCGCAGCTAAGATGGTGGTCATTGTGGAGGCCGGTGGTTATCTGGTCGTCGTTGTGGTGGCCGGCATGAAGCAAATCGCCGCTTGAGAGAGTGAGAACCAAAGGAGGATCGATTAATGAGAAAGGGATACATTTCTGATTTTAATGAGCATCAAACCCCTATGGGGACGACTTGTCGTCCCTATACCCTTAAACCAAACGACGTCGCCCCTATATTCTAATTAAACAAAATAAAAAATTGTATATATATTTAATTTAATTTCTTTTTGCGACAATATGTCGTCCCTATAGCTTTTTGGAATACTGCCAACATTTTTTTCGTTCCCGCTTTACCAGTAGAGACGATTTATCATCGCTTTAGCATAAAAAGTCAAAAGTGTTTGGTCAACTCTATAGCAACCATATATCGACCCTATAGGATCGTCTATAGCGACGACTTTTGTCGTCCCTATAGGTTTCGTCCCTATAGATGTTTATTCTTGTAGTGATAATGAGTAATTAGTGGTGATAAACTGTCACTGAATTGGTTAGCAAGACATTTTTTCCTAACAGACATAATCCGTCGGTAAGGGCTCCCTACAGTGATTATTATAAACTGATTAAAGATTGTTTGAACATAAGTGACGGAATGGCCATTGTATTGATGCTGCTAAAAGGATCCATCGTTCTTATACATTTTCCGGGAAAAGAACATTAAAAAATATCAAAGATTAATAAACTCTTCCAGATATTACAATAACAACGAAAACCAGCCCTCTATCGTCATGGGAAATGTATGAAAACCACGATTTTGCGGAAAGTAAAGACAAGAAGGAGTCTTGTCTTGTTTAATTAATTCCATCTATTTAGCACTTGGCTTATGGAACTTTTGTCGATTTTTTTTCAAGTCTTCTGGAAATCCTAAAGAATAGGAGTAGATGCATGTTTTTCTCCAAAACTAATTATAAGTCTTTCCACTCATTACTCAATGAGATTATATCCCATTCACTTCCTCAAACTATAACTTATTCGTTGCCCCCCAAAAAAGAACTCCAGAAACATAAAGAATGCAAGTATAACTTTCTTTACATTCTGAAAGACACAACACAACAGTAAATAAAATGGATCTTGATCCATCCGAACAACGATCCAAAATGAGTGATCAAAGAGGAATGTCTTCAATTCGAAGTGGAGGTCTTTCAAGAGAATTTTCGACTCGGAAATCAATGCTTCAAATAGAGGACACAAGGTTATCGGTCCCAGGCATGCTAAGCAGAAACGCAAGCAAGAGAGCTACTAGTATAAGGAGACGTGATGGGCCAATGTTGGAAAGGCAAATGTCAAGTGCAGCTAGAGGTCTTAGTGGCTTGCGATTTCTTGATAGGGTCATAACCGGGAAAGAAGGGGATGCGTGGATGGGTGTTGAGAAACGGTTTCATCGGTTTTCAAAGAATGGGAAGCTACAAAGAGAGAAATTTGGGATTTGTATCGGTTAGATTGATTCAAGATTTTTTTTTATCTTGAATAGTTTCTTTATGGACTTATTTCGATTAACTTTTTATGCTTTTTTAAGGAATGGGAGATGGGAGTGAGTTCTCGGGGGAATTGTTTGATGCCCTTGCGAGACGGAAAGGGATAGATGTGTCCGAAGGGATCACCTTAGGACAAGTGAAAATATTCTGGGAGGATTTGACAAAAGAGGATCTTGATACTCGAGTTCATATTTTCTTTGACATGTAAGATCACATTTCGATTTCATTCAAGTTTTTTTTCCAGTAGATTGGCAAACGAGCTCCTAGAGGCAATACAGTTGGGTTCGGGTTGGTATACTTGCATTAAACGTGAAGAGTTTAAGTCTCAACATTTGTCACTATAAGAGTTCTAATTCCAATGTGGATTTGGTTCCTTGTGGACAATGGGACACTTATGTCAGCCCCCTAGCGGGTTGTTGTTTATCTAATTTACCTTTCACATGATACTCTTCGGGTAGCTCTAGGATTAATATTAATAGAAGAATAATCTTTTTGCAGAAAAATGTCAAACTAAAACCTAGTGGCTAATAATTAAAGTTTTATTCAGGTGTGACAAGAACGGGGACGGCTTGCTAACGGAGGAGGATGTAAAAGAGGTACATATTATATTAAGGAGCCATTTCTGATCAATTTTCTTTGTTCTTCTCAATCTAAATCACAGATCATTGTTTAAAGTTTTCGGTTTTCCTTATTTTGAAGGTGTTGATAATGAGTGCATCAGCCAACAAACTTTCGGCTTTCAAGAAACAAGCGGGAACATATGCAGCTCTAATCATGGAAAGACTCGACCCTGACCAGTACGGCCACATAGAGGTAATTATATCCTAATAACTAGTTGATGATCAACTTACTACTTATATTTTTAATTTAATTTTAAAACATCTAATCATTTTTTTTTAATTAATTTGATTATCAAACAGATGTGGCAACTTGAGACATTGTTAAAAAGCACGACATCTAAGGAAACATGCAAGTTAACCGCTGAGGACACAACCGATCTAGCAAAAACGATGATTCCAGAAGATTACAGAAACCCCATGAGAAAATTATGTACAAAAATGTTCGAATCAGGTCTCGAACATTGGAAAATAGTGTGGGTATTATTTCTCTTTTGGGAAATGAACATCGCACTGTTCATGTGGAAATTCCACCAGTATAACTTGATGCCATCTTTTCAAGTCCTGGGATATTGTAGCTGCACTGCAAAAGGCGCGGGTGAAACCCTAAAGTTCAATATGGCTCTCATTCTCCTTCCTGTATGCAGAAGAACACTTACATCCATTCGAGAAACTTTCCTTGGAAAATTACTACCTGTTGATGAGAACATCAACTTCCATAAAATCATCGCGCTTGCAATTGTAATAGGGAGTGTGGTTCACACAGTGGCCCACTTGTCGTGCAATTTTATAAGGCTGTCAACTTGCCCTAATAACCAGTTCATGGCTGTTTTTGGAGCTTTGTTTACAGAACAACCAACTTACATGGACCTATTGTTAAGCATCCCGGGGTGGACTGGAATTGTAATGATGATTTTAATGGCTATTTCCTTCCTCTTCGCTACAAGTTCTTTTAGGAGAAATGTCAATAATTTGCCTAGGCCATTTAGTGATTTGGCTGGGTTTACTTCCTTTTGGTACACTCATCATCTGCTGATTATCGTTTACTTCTTGTTCATCGCTCATGGCTACTACTTAATCCTCACCGTAGGATGGTATAGGAAAACTGTATGTCACTTTACAACTTTTCTGTATAAACACAGACAAACGATTTTTGCTTTTGAAAAAGCATGAAAAGTTTGACAAAATTTTGTCAAAATTGCAGACGTGGATGTATCTCTTGATTCCAATGGTGTGTTATGCTAGTGAAAGAATCCTTACAACTGATCATACACTGAAAGTTGATACCATTAAGGTGACTCTATAACTCTCATGCAAGTCCTTATATTTCTTGTTCTCTAGTACTAGCTAGAAAACCCTAATTTGTTTTGTGTTGTGTAAATGCAGGCTATCATATACACGGGAAATGTGCTAGCATTATACATGACTAAACCTCCAGGATTCAAGTACAAGAGTGGAATGTACCTCTTTGTACAATGTCCAAGAATATCACGTTTTGAATGGTAAGTGTCAATTAGATTCATATAAGATAGACTCCAACATATATAGAGACAGCTGAGACTGTGTCAGGTTGATATGGGCACTAACAGCAACCATGCTACTTGGATCTTAAATTGTAAAAAATGAATTATTCATAATGTCGATTTACTATGACAGGCATCCGTTCACCATTACTTCTGCACCTGGAGATGACTACTTAAGTGTGCATATTCGTACGTTGGGAGACTGGACAAAAGCACTTAGAGAAGAATTTGCAAAGGTCAAACAATGTGTTCTATACATCTCCATTCACTTCTACCTCTTCATCAACTGCATGTTCTCTCTTAATCTGAATGCTAAAACACAGAAATGCAGGCCAGCTGTGAGGCTCAGCAGAAGAACAGTGTAGAAGGAAATCTTGTCAGAATCGAAACTCATGCCAAGGAATCACAAGTAAAGTGAGTTCCATAAAAACTAGCCTAAATCACCCACTTTTACATAAATTTATTTTAACTTTCGCTTTGTTTTGATAGGTATCCTAAAATCTACATCAAAGGACCTTATGGAGCACCAGCTCAACATTATAGGAATTACCAAGTCCTGTTACTTATTGGCTTGGGTATTGGAGCCACTCCATTCATCAGTATTTTAAACGACCTCCTACACCACCTAAAACAATCGGTAAGTAAAAAATAGCTAGTAGTCCTAGATGTGTACAATTGAAAAGGAAACATTTTAGATAATAAAAAAAAATCTGAGAGTGCACTTGTTTTTACTGCAGAGATTGGGGGATTTTAATCTGAATAAAAGAGCTTACTTTTATTGGGTAACAAGGGAGCAAGGCTCTTTCGAATGGTTCAAAGGTGTTATGGATGATATTGCAGAAAATGATCACAATGTGGGTCATTAACCTTAACTTTTAGTATTTTATGTTTTTCGTTATCAATGCATACCATTTCATTTAATTAATAGGTCAAGTATGTATTCAGTACTGTAAACTTGAAAGATATTATTATTTCTAATGAGGTTTTGTATGTGAATTGCAGAACATAATTGAAATGCATAACTACCTAACGAGTGTGTATGAACAAGGTGACGTGAGATCTGCACTTATTTCTATGGTGCAGTCTCTGCAACTTGCAAAAGATGGAGTTGATGTTGTCTCTCAGAGTAAGGTATAAACTTTCTTGAAATATATGATGACTTAAAGCTTAATTTTGTTGTTTATTTTCAAGGATTTATTTTCTAACAACAAACAAATCACGGCAGATTAAAACACATTTTGCAAGACCTAACTGGAGAAAGGTATTCCAGACCTTGGCAACTACGCATAAAGGTTCTAAAATTGGTAAAGCATCACGCTCATTACTACTATCTTTTCTAATAGTGATTATAGTGGTTATATATTTGGTTCTAGTGTCGGGCTCTATTGGGAAAATGGTCTCACAGATCCCCAACAATCCGTCCAATGAAAAGAAAAAGAACTTGAACGTCGAAAACTAGAGAAAAACTGGTTTTCAGAGAGAAAAATTCACTATCAGATAAATTATTACAATCACATAGACTAATCTCTCAAACCAGCCCCAAATTACACCCACACCCTCCAAAGATTTAACTCACACCTTTCTAAACCATGAAGCAAGAGAAGAAAGAATGAAAGAAACAAATACTTAAAACCATATTCGAGAGCAGTACCGATGTAGGAAAAATTCCATATTAAATATTAGCCAACAAATCTCAATAGATCTACGTTGTATGTGCTTATCATCATCTTATAATCTCCGTTTCCATCGAACTGCAGGTGTTTTCTATTGCGGGGCCCGGGCACTTACAAAACAACTAAGAAATCTCTGCAAAGAATTTAGCCTAACGAACACGACTCGCTTTCATTTCCACAAGGAGAATTTCTAAAAAGAGATGAAAAAATGTACCAACAGTTTTCGCTATGACATGAGATCATTTGTAGATCTGCAGGTCTCTATCAAAGTTCTAATGACAGCGGGATTAATTGCTACTTTTTGAGAACAAGAGCTTTTGTTATAGAGCTAGCTGGTAGCAGATCTTTGTGCTGCAGTTGGAGCATTGTTGCATGTTTGGGCAACCTTGTCTTGTGTTTTGAAGACCCAAGTTGGTAGCTTAATCAAATCTGCCTCTTCTCCTAATCCCCAAAGATAAAATAAAATAACGAGGATTTATGCTTAGTTTAGTTTATCAGGAAATGATTTGTATCGTCTCATAAACTCCCTCAACCTTGAGTTTAACTATTTAATTGGTTAATTTACACTGTTATAGCAATTCAGGTATAGTGACTGAGGTTTGCAAATGAAAAGGGTATACCAATGAGCAATAACGGCATTATAAATTCACCATCAAAACAGCATAGAACTAAACCAATTTCTCACAATTGAAAATAATTCTTCAATCAGTAACAAACTAACAATTTAACAACAAAAATAACAATAAATACCTAATCTTCAGACCCAATCATCAGCTTCGAACTTCAACATCATTGTTGTTGATACTCTTCAAGCTACCCCTTCTCGCTTTTCTTAAATACATTAATTCATTGAGGTATACGAGCTGGTAAAACGCCGGAGATGGTGGTAAAGGACTAAAGGTAAGCAGACGCCGACTAAAAACTGCATTCTCGGAGGGGAACAATTTCCCAAATCCCAATTGGCATGAATTTATACTTTGTTGTGAACTACTTATCAATTGAATTTTACAAATTGCCCCTGTAATATTTGTCAATATGTACATGCAGTCACTCACTAAAATAAATGAAGCCAACATGAACCACGGAAGTTTGTTTATTTAATAAACAAAGGAACATGAAAATTTTAGTTAAACGAATAGACACTAAAAATGTTATCATTCGTTCATTTACGTTGAACGTGACAACGTGTACGTTTTGTTTATATATATATATATATATATATATATATATATATATATATATATATATATATATATATATATATATATTCAAATGAAAACATTTATGGGTTTGAGAACATTTGAGAACAAAAATAAGTAATAGGAAAACAAATGCGTTACTTTTAATGAAGCAAGGGTCTATATGTAATTTTCTTGAAGTTATTACATTCCCGTAACAAGCCACACAGAGCAGATAAGAAGATAACACAGTGAAGCAGCTATGCATTAAATTGAAGATGTCGATCTTCACCGCTTCTCCGATCGCCGACCTCTCTACGATTTCCGATGCTACCTGGATTTCACGAAACTCCAGTACATATATTCATCCGCCACCGGTCAAGTCTCCGATTCTGCAAACCTACTGCCCAAAAACTCTTCGTATTGAGCTTGTTGGAGATGGAGTCGGAGTTGTTGCTTTGTTTTTTCATTCACCTGGAGAATGTTGATGAAGGAGCCAGTAGAGGCATTTTACCCTGATTGATTGGTATGCTTCCTTATCCTTATCCTATGTAATTCCATTTCCAATTTTTTATATTTGTTATCAGATTAATGGTTTTGAAACACAGTTTTATAATTAATTCATTACGAAACATTTCATTTTATAATAGAGTTTGACCAATTTGGTATATCTATTTGAAATTGTATTTATAGAGAAATTTGCTGGAGGCCAATAACCAATTTCGTTTCCCTTTCCATCTGCCATGGTACTTAGTTGTTTTCTATACACGCGCGCGCACACACACACATATTTACAGGTGTTTGTATGCGTTTGTTCGATTGTTTTTGTTTATGTTCATTTATGTTCGTTTATCTACTTAACGAACGAACACAAACATTAAAAAAATTTGTAATTAAATTGTTCGTGTTCGTCCGTTTATCATTTAAAGTTAAAAAAATGAACACGAAAAAGCTTATGCTCATCTTCGTTCGGTTCGTTACAACCTAAATGGTAGTACCGATAAGGATATTGCTACCGATAGAGCTGAAAAAATATGACTTTAACCCTATACGAAATAAATAGGTTTCGGTAATAGATTTTAAGCATCCTCGTATTTTTTTAAACATAGTCATATATTTGTTTAATATCCTTATATTGTTCACGTTGCATCTCAACTAACTCAAAATTTTGACTCCCGACTTTTGTCTCGACACACACACTTTATCACCATTATTATCCAACAAATCATATGTTTCAAAAGAGCCCTTAATAGAACCAATCAAATTGTCATATGATCCAAATCCATATAATCTCCTTTTTCGATCATGTACTCCAACAATGTCACAAAAATTGGTCCTTATAAATATCTTCTCCTATTGTTGCCAACGCTGACATCGTTCCTTAAAATCCTCCTACAATTTTGTAATCGTATTGAGATAAAACTTATACAAAAAACAAAAATAAAGAGAAAATATAAAATTATTTGAAAAAAATTTACGTGTGTGTATTACAAGAATAGTTCATGGTGTGTGAGATCATGTGTCACACCCTTGGCCTGCGGCGGAAGTGACAGGCTGTGCGACATTAGGATGTTGGGATTCAGGCCAAGATATGCGTTGAATAATACACATGATGTACTAAACAACATATCTATTTATTCATTAAATAAAAGAGGTTACACAATTGTTCGAGGTACAAGTAGGTTACGAAAGCAAAGTACATAAGTAAAGCACATAAGTTCCGGGCTGCATCATCGGGGTTATCTCCTCCTTCAGACGGGTTCATTCTCCTGAGAATACATGTGGTTTGAGAGGTCAACATAATGTTGGTGAGTCCACAGGTTTATGATTTTAAAGTGTTTAGTGGGTATTTTACTTTATCTTGTTTATCCTAAACTTTCTTCCTCAAGTTTGTGTGTAGTATAACTACTTTCATAGGTTGGTTTCCTAGTAGTAGTCTAAGATAGTTAGTTTTAGTTTGACAAAGTTACGATGAATTCCTATAATCGAGCTATGACCGTTGATCCCAAACATCCACGACGCTTCATCGGACGTCGCTATGTGTTTAGAAAGTTATGCTTGCTTCGACTTGCCGTCGGGTTGTAGCTTGCAACCACAGGTGGGAGTGTCAATCTCGTATACATATATACATATCTCTCTCACTCACTTAAGATTTAACGATTATAGGTCAGGATCTAGCTAAAAATCTATCAGCGTGTTGATGAATCGTGTCTCATCTAAACTCTTGTTGTGGGGGTCTCCCCTGGTCGGTCGTGTTGTTATTTACGTTTTATTTATACGGGTTTACTTCTAATATATATATATATATATATATATATATATATATATATATATATATATATATATATATATATATATATATATATATATATATATAGTGTGTATGTGTTTCACATAGCTGAGAATTTGGGCAGAGTAACACTAGGTACTATAAGAAATATATTGCCGATTCTTGTTATTGATTTGTACAAAGTATTACAAGTATATATACACAAATAAAGGATTTACAAAGGAAACTAATTAACTTAAATAAATAAAAGATAATTTATCTTTTATCGTTAACACACCCCCCCCCTCAAGCGAACCGGTGGAGATGACACATGCAACATGCCTAGAAAATCTTCAAATAGTGGCCTGGGAAACGGTTTGGTGAAGATGTCAGCCACCTGGAACTTGGTAGGAATGAATTTTGTATGAAGTTTCCCTGAAGAAACTAATTCTCGAACGAAATGATAATCAATATCAATATGTTTGGCGCGCTTGTGGGAAACAGGATTTTGACTTAGAAAAATAGCACTAAGATTATCACAAAATAATGTAGGACGTCCCTGAGGTAAAGCGTGTAGGTCACGAAGAAGATGAGTAACCCAAATGAGCTCAGCAGCAGTATTTGTCATGGCACGGTATTCTGATTCACAACTGGATCTTGAAACTGTTGGTTGTTTCTTAGCACTCCAAGAGACAAGGTTACCACCCAAGAAAATAGAATATCCATATATGGAGCGTCTAGTCTCGATACAACGCACCCAATCCGCATCTGAGTAGCCAGTTAAAGAGGTCGGAGTTTTGTTGGAAAAATTAAGACCATACGCAAGAGTACCCTTTACATAACGCAAAATACGTTTGACCATTTGAAAGTGATCAATGGTTGGAGCATGCAAAAACTGGCTTGCCTGATTGACAGCATAAGAAAGATCAGGATGAGTGATAGTTAAGTATTGTAGCGCACCTACTAATGAACGATAGTGAGTTGGATCGGAATAAGGAGTGCCAGTGGAAACAAAAGTATCATTAGTGCTCAAGCGAGTAGCCACGGGTTTAGAATCTAATAAAGAAGCATGTGTCAAGATATCATGAGCATACTTGGACTGATTCAAAAATAAACCATCATGAGTATAAGAAACCTCAAGGCCCAAGAAATAACTGAGGGTACCCATGTCTTTAATAGAGAACTCAGTATGCAAGCGTGTGATAAAGTTTTTAATGGAGGTCTCATCATTTCCTGTAAGAATAATGTCATCCACGTAAACAAGCAAATATAAAATGCATGAGTTCTTGTGGAAAACAAAAAGTGAGGAATCTGATTGACTGCATCGAAATCCTTGCTGTAAAAGAAAGGTGCTTAGGCGTTGAAACCATGCACGGGGAGCTTGTTTTAACCCATACAAGGCCTTTTTAAGACGAAATACATGGTCCGAAAATTATGGGTTAGCAAACCCAGGGGGTTGCTCCATAAAGACAGTCTCATTGAGAAAGCCATTTAAAAATGCATTTTTAACATCAAGTTGATGAAGATGCCATTTGCGTGTAACAGAAAGAGATAAATCGATGCGAACAGTAGAGGCCTTAACCACCAGACTAAAAGTATGAGAAAAATCAAAACCTGGTATTTGATTGAAGCCTTGGGCAACAAGACGGGCTTTTAAACGATCAATAGTGCCGTCAGCTTTATATTTGGTACGAAAAAACCCATTTCGAACCAACAACGTTTGAAGATGATGGGCGTGGAACTAAATCCCAAGTGTCTTGTTCATGGAGAGCCCGAAGTTCATCATGCATGGCTTGAGACCACGAGGGATCTTTGGATGCGGTTTTAAACCCTCGAGGTTCTTTAGCAGAGAAAAGAGCATGATGTAACTGAGAAGTAGCAATAATGGAAATATCAGCACGATGTTTAGGACGAAAAATGCCAGATTTGGAACAGGTGTGCATTGGATGAGTGGACTGGACCGCAGGTGGAGGTTGAGTCGCGGGTGGAGATTGGACCTCAGGTGGAGTTTGGGCCTCCGGTGGAGGTTGTGGATCGACATGGATTTGGGTTGTCGGTGTTGGGGCTGCATGATGAGTATGAGAATC